GACAAGCCTAAATTTTGTAATCTAAAATTTTTTTAAAAAGAAAGAAAATGGAAAGGGAAGTGGCCAAAGAGATAGGAAAAGAACAGCAAGAAAAGAGAGTTTGGAGAGGCAAGTGGTTACCCATGTCAAATATTGTTTAGACATCAAGTAAGAAAAGGACAGAGAAGCATTTGGTGCATTTAGTGGTTACCCTTGGTGGGAACGGTCTTCATTGAACTTGTGGGTCAGTAGTAGGCTATTGTTGTGGGCTAAGGGATAAGTGGAAGGGAAGGGAATAGAGAGTGGGTAGATAACTCTTCCAAGCAGTCTGTGAAGGGGAGGAGAGAGAGGAGAGAGAATCCAAGGAACTCTGTAGAGTTCAGCAAGATTCTTTCCTTTCCTTTAAAAATGTTTCTTTTTTAGGATGGGAGAGACTTGTGGTTCTTGTCCCTGTGTATACATGTCACACTCATCCATCTTATAGGCACAAGAGAATGCAGAGCAAGGAGACTGAAGGTTCTGGAGTTGAGCAGGATGAGTGATGGCCAACTTCCCAGGATGAAAGAAAAGAAAGGGTGGCCTGACGGACAAAAGACATTGTATCTGAGGTTGAAGATACAATGGCAAGCTCATGAGTAGTGAGTCTTAAAGTCTAGGTGTGACCCCTCCCTCTCTTGCTGCTGGTGTGGCTGCTGAAACCTCCTGAGGACCTATGAACTGATCCAGAAATATAGGTCCATTCTTACCAGTCTCTATGAGTGAAAGGTGTTAAGTGTTTAACACATATTAAGTGTTTAGTAATTAAGTGTTTAAAATTTGTATATTTGACTTGGAGCCACTACCAACCAAAAATAAATTAAGAGTTATTAAAATTTGGTTTTCACAAATTAAAATCAATGTGTGCTACGAGATTTATTTTAATTCAGTATTTTATTCAGATGCCTGGCAGACACCTGGTGCTTGGCAATAATCATAAAGCATGTGCACATAGTTGTAAATTCCACAATTTTGATTCAGGACACTTCATCAGTGTATCATCAGCATTGGCCTGAGTTGGTTATAATATTCAGTTCCTGCTATTCTTGCTTTTTAATTATAAATTACAGTAAGTTTAGTTTTATCATTATCAGTTTAGCTTATTGTGTGTTATTTGGTTAACCTCACGATGTTTATTGGTACATACTTGGATCAACAATGTTTTGTCTTATAGTGTTCTTATAACTAGACTTTTAAATATGTATGTCTTGTGGTTCGCATGTGAATCATCCATTATTATTTTGCCAAAGTAGATGTGTACCTAACCCCCTTGTCATTTGCTTGTATGGTGACACTCTTCATGGTGATATGTTTCCTGGGAATTTTTGCTATTTAAATAACTTACAACATACTGTCAAGGTAGGTGTAAGAAAATTACTGGATTTTTAATTTTTTTGATGTTTTAGGATATAAATTATGTTTATAGTAATATGTTTACTGCAACTTAATTATATTTTTGCTGAATTCTTTGTTACCACCGGGTTCACTACCTGCCCCTTACCCCCGAATGTGGGAACAAGTGAGATAGGTGGAGGTCTTTCGCTTTGCTGTGGTGGGCTTTGCTCAGAAAGTTTAAAATCCATCCCTCTAGAGGAGTGGGTAGGTGTGTGGAAAGGATGTGCTAAGCAGCTAAGCTAAAGTGGAATAAGGGTAACTCACAGTCATGGCTTCAATGCCAGTGGACTGTGAGCTTGTCACTAATAAGATGTTAGGAGAACAGGTGCTGATGTTGTGTTTTTACTTCTTGTTTAAGGATGTAAATGAAGACCCTGGAGAAGATGTGGCCCTCCTCTCTGTTAGTTTTGAGGACACTGAAGCCACCCAGGTGTACCCCAAGCTGTACTTGTCACCTCGAATTGAGCAGTAAGTGTCATTAACATTAGGTAGCCCGGTGCTACTTCTTGCTAACCAATGTCTCATTCTTTCTTTTGCCACTCTTGAACTCTTACATTTATTTCTCTTCATTGACTTTTGTTTCCTTAAAAAATTCATCATATTAAGAGTTTCAATTGCAGAGTAAATGCAGTTAGTACTTGCTGCCACACCCTTTTGACAAGTGTTATTGTGCATTTGGTAACATGAATACTGTACCTTTGTAGAGAGAAAAGAATAGGCAGACTGAGTCCAAAATTGGGACTCCTTCCAGATGTTCCCTGGAGTTCGAATAGTTGTAGCCCACAGTGGGCTGCTAAACATCTTTAAAATATTTAGCAAAAACTGACTCAGAAGTTAGTAAAGCTCATATTAAAAATAGATAGCTTAAAAAGATAACATGTTTTATTTTGCTGCATCGAAGTAACTGTGTATAATTTTACACAACATTCAGGCTACATGGCAGAAGTAGTTTGATATCGCATTTGTGTTCTAACCAAGTAACATTATTCATCAGTAATGAATTTTGTAAGGCCTGGATTCATAGTGTGCGTATTGTGGGTGAAATGCTTTAGTAGCTTATTCTACTTCAAAGGAAGCTGCGGTTCATTGAAAATGGATTATAAGCAGATTTGGTTGGGAACTTCTGACAGGACAGATTTTTCATCAGCAGAGAGAGTTTTTACAGACTCTGATTGAAATGTATTATTAAACTTCTCTGTGAGTCATTTAGTCACAGTTGACTGATTTCTGTCTGTGAGTAGATGTGGTCACTATCTAGCATTCTTAGTAAAAATACTGAGCCATTTTTACACCTTCCCACCTTAGTTGCTCTAATTTATAAATCATGGACACATCATCTTAAAAACCAATATGACACAGCTGTTTATACTCAAATATGGGAGCTTATGAACATCAATAATCTATAGGCATTCTCTTTTTTTAAAATAT